TTCTTTAATATTTTACCCACAATTTAATCCATCTTTTTTTAAGATGAAAGAAACCAGAGAAATGAGAATTTTGGAGAGTATTTTTAAATTTTGAACCTTGCCTAATGAGTCAGTTGCTAAATTCTGCACTGAAACCTTTTAACCCCCACTTTCAAGAACTAGTCACTCAGATGGTGAACTTTTATGGTGACTAAAGTGCAACTTGAATTTGGTCTACAGAATAAACGCAAATTGTAATTGAGCTATTTTCTGCAGAGTGTTACAAGGGGGCAGAAAAGCATGACTTGTTTCTTCCTTCCCAAAGTCAAACTCTGTCTCTCACTGCAGAGTTACACAGATGTATTTAAGAGCCCAATCTGACTTCATGTTTGAAAAATGCAGCTCATTAGGGAAGAGTCTTCCAACAATTGCTACATAACTGAAGCGCGTGCTACACACAGGATCATAACCAGAATTCTCAGTTTCTTTCACAACCACTGTCCCAGGATAAAGGAAATCATTCGAGCTACACTCCAATAGGCTGAAGGTCGATCTGTTTAAGGGCCTCCTGTATACACCACCTCTCCCAGTCAGGGTAACCAGTTGCTCATGCTTAATTAGTAGCGTCAGCAGAAACTAACCGTGTCCCTGTAAGAAGTCTCAAGACGGGGGGGTTAGCCTGGTTACAGCAACCGGGTTAGAGCCCGTCTCCGGTGCAAGCTACGATCACCTTTGAACCGGTGTTGCGAGTCCCTGGGCTGCAGCGCCGAGCCCGGGCTGGGCGCGGAGGGGGAACACCCCCCTTGGGCGCCGCCAGGGCCGGGGAGAAGCCGCGGTACGAGGCCCCGATCGGCCTGGGGAAGGGGCGCCGCGGCAGCGCGGCTGGAGCCGGATCCCAGCCCGATCCCGAAGCTCCCTGTCCCCAGCACCCCGGGGCGCCCCAGGCCCCGCAGCGGGTGAGAGAGGCGGCGGCAGAAGCCGGGGCTGGGGCGGCGGAGCCATGGAGGCGGCGGGCCCCGAGCTGCGGGGTCCCGGCCCGACTCACCGTCTCGGCCCCGGAGGGCTGCGCCCCGGCGCTCTGCCCCCCCCATGACGCCCCGCAGGAAGTTCATGGCGGGCCCGCCCCGGCCCGGGCTCGCGCTGCCCTGGCTGCGGCCCCGCTCGCTCCGGCTCCCGGGGACGGTGGCAAGTGCGGGCCGCTCCCGGCTCCACCATCCGTCCGCGCCGGAAGCAGCCGCGGCGCCTGCGCCGGGACGTGGCAGCGACGTGGCGGCTCAGAGGGCGAGAGGCGGGGCGGCTGCGGCCCTGCGGGACCCGGGACCCGGCAGCCAGGCCCGGCCCGCGATGGGCGCCGGTGCGGGAAGGGCCGCTGGAGGGCGCGGGGCTGAGGGGGCGTTGGGGGGCGTCGGCTAGGAGCAGCCCCCCCC